TTATTTGTAGGTGGCATGATTGTGTATATAGAAAATTAATCTAGAAACCATTAGACTTAGTAAGAGAGTTTACCAAAGACACTGGATACATAGTCAATATATAAAAGTCAATTATATTTGTATATTAATAACCAAAAAGTTCCATCTATAGGACATCAAATGCCTAGAAACAAATAAAAAAATGTGTAAGACCTCTATACAGGAAACCGTAAACTATTTCTGAAATTAAACAAGATATAAATAAGTGGAGGAACATACTGTGTTCATGGATAGAAGACTCACTATGTTGTGAAGATGCCCAGTCTCCCCATGTTGACATACAAGTATGGACTCAATGCAGTCCCTGTGAAAATTCCATCAGGGCTGTGTGTGTGTGTGTGTGTGTGTGTATAAATTAACTCCCCCTAGATATGTCTGGAAATGCAAGGGATCTGGGATAGTGCCATAAGGGCACATGGAGTCCATCTCAGTCAGATATGGTGAGATGTGCAGAAAAGTGGCTGTCACCAGGGAAGAACCTACAGGACTTGCTGTCCTCTGGGACAGAGGGCAGCCAGCCCTGCAGGGCTGTGCAGGGAGGCAGGGGCAGGGCATGTGGGTAGGAGCATGGTGTAGCTTCTGTGGGAAGGAGAAAGCAAGGCAGGGTGGGTTGGCTTAGGACGGGCTGGTTGGAACCTTTCAGCAGGCTCTTGGGCGTAGGACCTGCCCTGGTTGTCTAGTAGCTGGCCCTGGCTGATAGGGAAGAGGAACATCAGGACCTGGATTGCAGGTTTGCACTTGAAAGTGAATCACTTACGATCTCTAGAAATTGGCTTGTCCTGGGAGGGGAAGTCCCTCTGAGTCATCCAGATCCCAAATGTCAGAGCATCAGAATGCAGGAGAGAGAAGCCTGCTTAGTGCCCATAGCTGAGGGGATGTTGAAGAGGCCGGGGTCTGAAGGGCCAGGGGTATGGAAGCATCAAGGTGCTGGCCAAGGGCAGATGGGCAGAACAGGTGTGTGGGTGACACATCTGCTGGGCCAGAGTTGTCTCTAGCTCCATAGGGATGGACGCTCCTTCCAATATATGGTGCTGAGTGAACTATCACTGTGGAGAACAATGAATTTTGGCCCTTGCCTCTCACCAAGCACAAATATTAATTTGAGGTGATTCATAAACCTTTGAAAACTGTTTGGCATCTGCTAAAGCCAAGCATATGAGTGATCCAGAAATCCCTCCCTTGGGTGTCTGTCCATCTGAAATGAAAGCTTGTGTCTATTAAGCCTGCAGTCCCAAGCCTGGGCTGTAGACCGGGCCAGTTGCACTACATAGCAGGATGTGAATGGCAGCAAGTGAGCAAAGCTACTTCTGCATTTACAGCTGCCGCCCATGGCCGGCTTCACTCCTGAGCTCTGCCTCCTGTCAAGTCAGCTGGGGGTATTAGATTCTCAGAGGAGCGAGACTTCCCTATAAACTACGCATGGGAGGGATCTAGGTTGCGGCTCTTAGGGAGAATCTGATGGTGACTGAGGGAAGTCGAGGCTATGATGCCGGCGCTGGCGGGCGGCCGCAGACACAGATCCCTGTTGGCAGAGAGGTTGGACTGCACAGACAATATACTAAATCCTTTGCTTGCAGACTCATATCAAAACCATCCCCCATCTGTGGAAAAATTGTCTTCCATGAAGCTGGTTCCAGGTGCCAAAAAGGTTAGGGACCACTGATGTAAGAGACACTTGTAAGAGCCATCCAGACTCCATCGTTCTGCAGCGTGGGTGCGTCATGGTTTAGCAGTGCTGTGGAGTGTTCCATTTCTGGAATAATCTTTTGAAAATTATATTTGGACCAATTAAACATCCAGGATGGTTATATGGCTGAGGACTCTGGGAACAGCACACACCCCTCTGAAGCAGCCTTGCTCTCCATCTGTTTGGTTCACTGGTGATTTCTTATAGTCTAACACTATCACAAGAATGTTCTTCAGTTTTCACTTGTCCTGTGGCTATTTGTGACAGGTCAGATGCTCCTGCAGTCAGAACCTTGCTGTGAGGGGGCAGAGGAAGGGCTGAACACACATGGCTGTGGAAAGCTGATTGTGGGTGCGGTACAGGGAGCAGGTGGGACACCTCCTTTTTTCCTGGGGCTTGCAGGAGACCCTCTGCTCAGGTGGGAACAACATTTTTGTCAGATACAATTCTGTCAAATTGTAGCCAAATGTCACTCAGCTTCACATTTTAGATGACCTTCTGCTACCTCTTGTCAGCCTGCTTCTCTTACTGGTTTGGAAGCTGCCTTGTTCCTCATGAGAATACTCGATTCCTGGCAAGGAGGCTCAGTGTTTAGGACGGACTGGCAGAGTGCCTGTTGAAGCTCAGTCATCTGTGTGCTTTTCATTTATTTTAATTACCCTTTTACCATATGGATTTTTAGAGGTTTATTAGTGTTTATGAGAATGAAACTATACAATATTGAAAATTTTTCTAAGATATTAAGGACTTATAAACCACAGATAAGTTATAGGAGATTTTCCAATAAGAAATTATTTGAATGATACTGGCCGATGCAGATTTCCCTGTGCAGCTGTAGTAATGTCAGTTGAATGCAGTGTGTTGGATGATGATCCCCAGTCCTCTCAAAACGTGTGTCCATGTCCTCATCCTCGCAACATGGGACTGTGACCCTATTAGAAAAATGAGTCTTTGCAGATGAGGTTAAATTAAGGATCCAAAAATGAGATCATCCTGGTTCTCCAGAGGGGCCCTAAATCCAATGACAAATATCCTCACAAGATACAGAAGAGGAAAAGACACGGACACAGAGGAGCCTACATGGAGGCAGAGCCAGAGGCTGGAGCCATGCAGAGCCCTAGCGCTGGGAGAGGCGGGAAGAAGCAAAGCCCTGGATACTGACTCAGACCAAGGCCTCAGCTCTAAGAGAGTGAGCATGTGTTGTTCTAAGCTGTCCAGTTCGTGGCACTTTGTTATGGCAGTGAATGCATCATCACAGGGATGGCTGCTGCAGCCACATCTCCATTTCAGGAGTCCTGCTTATTCACATCTGGAGTCATGCTCATGTCCCTTCTGAACTGTTTTTCGAGGAAAAAAATACAGTGTTTCTGTACAGATAAGTATTTATTTAACATGTATACCTGAATTATTAGAGATGGCTAAATTTATGATAATTTAAATTTTTAATTTTCATGGTTGTAGAAGAATAGAAAAGCACAAATGAATATGATCTCAGAGAAGTGGTTTAAATAAAATAATCCAAAAATGCATTTTTGTTTTTTGAGATAGAGTTTCACTTTGTCACCCTCGGTAGAGTGCTGTGGCGTCATAGCTCACAGCAACCTCAAACTCTTGGGCTCAAATGGTTCTCTTGCCTCAGCCTCCCAAGTAGCTGGGACCACAGGACCTGCCACAACACCCAGCTATTTTTAGAGACTGATCTCACTCCTACTTAGGCTGGTTTTGAACCTGTGAGCTCAGGCAGTCCACCTGCCTCAGTCTCCCAGAGTGCTGGGGTTACAGGCATGAGCCACCACTCCTGGCTAACAATGCATTTCCTTGTTTTCCTTTTCCATCTTACGACATGTGGAACATCTACTCTGTTGGGTTTGATGATATGAGAAGCACCATCGTAGTATGAAGTGTGGTGGGAAGGAGGAGGGGCATTCATACCGCCTGACTTACAGAGACTGAGTCAGAGACAGAGTGTGCTGTTCAAGGAGAGGCAGGGACAGCTTAGTTCTGCTTCCTGGGTGCTGCCAGGTATGAGGCATGAGGCTGCAGACAGCCGTGCCCAGCTGGTCATTGCTGTTGGGCAGGCTAGTGCTACCAGGCTGTCCCATCTGGGCCACAGCTGCTGCAGTTTAACGAAGTGGACAACCAGCGATACTGTGTCACTGAATTGGACCTGCCTTTGGGAGTGTACCCATCTATCCTCAGAGCCCCACAGCCTGGGCAACTCTCCCTCATGGGGTTTGGGGAGGGGATAGGAGTGGCCAGTGGGGGCAGTTGGCATGTTCTGCTTCTCATGTTTGTCTTCAGGTAGTGAGAGGTGGGCACACAGAGGAACCTTGCTGAAATGTTTTTCACAAAGACAGAAAACAGAAACAGCTTAAGTGCTCAACAACAGATCTATATAATAAATCATGGTAACAGCTATGTAGTTAAAAGTCATGGCATTAAAAGATGGTCACAGTATGTCCAGTGGACAATGTCCTGTGTACCTGGACACACCTGTGATGCAGATCTGGCCTGGGAGTACGGATGGGCTGGCTGCAGGTCTGATGGGATCTCAATGATGTTGCTGACCTGGGGCGTGTGCAGGGCTGGTGTCCTCAGCACTGCTGCCCTGGGCCCTCTGGGTAGCACCTATCCTCACCTGAGTTGCTGGCAGCCGAAGCCTGAGCTGCAGCACTGTGGGGGGGGAGGGGGAGGGCATCTTGAGGGCAACTGCATTGGGCTGTGTACTGGGGAGGGGCCCAGGCCTGGTGAAGCTGTCTGGTTATTGCTCCAGCCGACTGGCTGTTCCATCCAGCAAGATGGCCTGGGTCTTTGGATCATAGCCACTTCTCACATGTCCTACACACTAGTGCACCCGTTTTTCTCAGTGCTGTTTGTTTTCGTATCTCCCTCCCCCTTGGTGCCTTGGACTAAGATCTGATGCTGTGCCTGGGGCTGCCACTCGTGAATATTCTGTAGGCATCTGAGGGTTTGACGGGAGGGCTGACAGGAACAGGGTGACGTGCAAGACAAGTCATACCCACCTCTTGCTGCCTGCTTTGTCTGGGGCTCCTGGTCTGTCTTCAGTGGACAGTTGGCTCTTGCCCTAGATGGGTCTGGAGCACTGGGGCGTGGTGCCTCAGCTGGGTAGATGATCTCTGCTGAGGGTGGAGGGGCCCTGCCCACTGCTGGGTTGACACTGCAGGTTACAGCCCGAGGTCCCTGTGTGGTTGTCAAGTGTGGGCCACAGAGGGCACATCCTGACCCCACTGACCTTGTGGCCGCTGTCTTTCAGTGAACGAGTTCACGGTGATCAGAAAGAAGTTCAAGTGCCCCTACTGCAGCTTCTCAGCCATGCACCAGTGCATCCTGAAGCGGCACATGCGCTCCCACACTGGCGAGCGGCCTTACCCCTGCGAGATCTGCGGGAAGAAGTTCACGCGGCGCGAGCACATGAAGCGCCACACGCTGGTGAGTACAGCTGCTACAGGGCCAGGGCGTCTGGGTAGGGCTCTGGAGGAGATGCCACAGGCAGCACAGAGAGTGTTCCAGCTCTGTGGGTAAGGCAGCAGGGCTGGGTATATGGCCATATCCCCCTTACAGAGGCCCTGGACCTGCCCTACCTACCTGCTGCCCCCCTCACCAAGTACACTGTCCTCTACTGGGAGCCTCTAACTCTTGGTCAAGGTGGGGACCTGCCCTGCCCTACCCTGAGTCCGAATAGGAACCCTGCTCCTGCTTCTGGCTTGTCTGTGTCCAGTGTGTCCAGTCCTGAGCTCAGCACCTAACGGGTCACTGTCAGGGGGCAGGTGTCAGGAAGCACACAGGAGAGGCTGCCTCAAGTGGGCAAGATGAACCCACAGACAGACAGGGCACAGGTGTCCTGGGTGGGGACGGGTCCCTGACAGCCCTGGGCCAGGTGCAGGTTGGAGGGCTTGGGCCACTGTTCCAGGGGTGGCTCGGGGCCAACATAGGCATGTGCTGGGGGTGAGACAGAGAGGTGCTGGGATAGTGCTGTAAGTTTGGGGATCTCAGGAGCATCAGTCCACAGCCACATGTGGGAGCTGATGCATGGGCTTGCTTGGGGCTACCCGCCCCCCAGCATGTTGACCTTCCTGGGAAGACCCCCTGGGGTGGGGGTGAGGGTAGCTCCAGTAGGGCAAACCTAGTGAGCGGGACTCCAAGGCTGTGTCTGTCTGTGGGGTGAGCGGAGACCCCTGCCCAGGCCTCCTGCCTCCACTAGAGGGCTCTGTGCTTAGCTCCAGCTCCAGGCCAGTGTATAGCTCTGTCAGGCCGCCAGCTCTCCAGTTTCGCCAGGTAGGCCACGTGAGAAGGGTCCATGTCTGCTTTTCTAGCTCCATGGTGGGCCTCATTCGGGGTGGGTACACCTGAGTCTCCGCTTGAGGTCAGCTCATAAAGCCTGAGCTGGGTTGGGTGAAGCTGCAGGTGCCCCTGGGAACCCATCCTGGGTGTGTCTGGGAGCAGACGTGCAGCCGGTGGGGCCCGACCTCTAGGGCCTTCCTTGACTCCTCTGAGAGTCCCCTGTGGAGGGCAGGTGTGCCAGACCAGGGGCAGGCCCATGTCCATGCAGAGCCACCAAGGCCTGGGACAGGCTGGGTTGGGCACCCTCACTCTGCCTACGGCTTCCAGAATGTCGGACACAGAAAGGTGCGTGGTGTTCCTGCATCCCTGTTCAAGTGCCTTTTCTGTGGGGCCTTGAGCCATTTGCAACATGGGTTGCCACATCTTTTCTTTAACAAAACCACATTAGTGGCTCAGTAAAGGTCCTTGTCCTGTTTGGGGTCCAGTGTGTCTGGTTCCCAGTGGGCAGGGCCACGATTCTTACCCTGGTTCTCAGTGGGCAGTGCCAGGGTTCTTACCCTGCACCTCACATTTGGGCTTCAAGGGGTCCTAATTCCCAGAAAATGTTCTTAAGACATGGGGGCTCGGCCTTTTCTGCGGACAAGGTCCCTGCCCCTGAGAGGGCCCATGTGTCAGAGGTAGCCCTGCAGGCCTGCACAGCCCAGCCTCTGTGGTGTCACTGAAAGTCACCTCCCTCCTGGCATACGGCAGCCCCTGAGACCCAGCCTTAGGCTCCGCTGCTCAGTAAGCAGGGGTCCTGAGGGAATGGGCCAGCCTGCAGCCCCCTCTAGGGGCTCCGAGTGGGTTTCCATGGTGCCTGTATGTTCCCTTCTTGCTGCCTGCCAGGGCTTCTGCCAGTGGGGACGAGGCCCAGGTATCTGGTCCTGGGCTCCATGAGGCGCCCCCTCATGGCCTCCCAGGGATCCTAGCAAAACCCCCAGCTCATGGGGTAGGGGGGGCCCTGTGGCCTCTGAGGTCTCCAGGGCACGCAGTTGGCACTCTGACCCTTCCTGTCCCTACCTTTGCTGTCCGTGTCACATCCCCCTGTTGGGAGTAGTTTCTACTGTAATTTGGTCTTATTCTGTTCTTTGGTTGGGGGTGGTGGTGGAAAGGAAGCTCTGGGGTTAACAGAGTGTGGGGTTAACAGATGTGTGTAGCAAAGTGAACCAACAGAAAGCCCAAAGGAGGGTCCTGGTCCTGCACCATCACAGCGGCTCCATCACAGGGTCTGTGGTGGTGCTGCCCCAATTCCCAGGCCATGTCCCTCACATGGTGGCCCATCCCAGGTCATGCTTGGAACCTCACTGGTCAGTCTAAAGTTGCTCTGGTAACAAAGGTCTTTATGCTTCAGGGTTTTGTGAAAGTTGGTAGAGACCCTCCAAGGAGGGGTCTTCAAAAGGGGAGCATAGGGGCCGTGTGTGGAGGTGGCTCCTGTAGTCCCAGCTACTTGGGAGGCTGAGGTGGGAGAATCACTTGAGTCTGGGAGTTTGAGGCTGTAGGGAACTGTGATGAGGCCTCTGTATTTCAGCCTGGGTGACAAAGTGAGATCCTGTCTCTAAAAAAAACAAAACCAAAACAAATCCCAGGGATTTGGGAAGCAGAGGACAGAGGTGGGGAGGGCTGCTCACAAGGCCAGCCCCAGGAGGTGGCTGCTGTGACTGGGCATTAGGAGGTCTCCACAAGGACAGAGGGACCCTCTTCCATTGGAACGTAGACAAGTTATATTTGTATTGTGATGACAGTATTTACTTGCTCATGGTACACAAGTGGAGAATTTGGTGTGGTGGGAGGAAGAACTAAACTTACAATCTCTTCCCCACCTCCATTCTCATGGTTGATGTCGCAGCTTCCTTGTCTGCAAGCCTGGGTGAGACAGCCCTTTGGAGGGAGGACTGCAGAGGCCAGGGGTCTGAGAGGACAGAGGCTGATCAGTGCCAGGTGCAGCCTGGAGGCCAAGCCTGAGGCCTTTAGGGAAGCACCCATGTGGCCTGGGGTCATCTGACCTGAGTTGATGGTGGGTCCTCTGGAGGTTCTTTGGGTCTCCATCCCCAGAGGGCAGGGTGGGGGTTCCCACGAGTAGGGAGACTGCTCAGGACCAGCTCCAAAGGCTTGGCTGAAGCTTCCTATCAGGGCCTGAGTGGCATGTGGGCCACCTCACCGTGTCCCCACCTGCCTCTCCAAATCCCTGCCACCCTAGGCCTGAGCTGGCTTTGTCTTCTCATGGCCCTGCCCCCCCAGTGCCCCTTCACAGATGAGTGGCTGGGCTGGGTATGGGAATCTTGGAGAGCTCTGTTTAATGAGGGGTCCCTCAGCCTCTCTTAGCAGGAAGGTTTGGAGGGAGCAGTGTGCCTACTGGTGGGGATGCATGAGTGGGGGGCACTGGTGGGGGTGCCCAGACACACAGCTGCATGTGGCAGGTGTGCCAGGTCACACAGCCAGGGCTGCGGCTGGGAGCAGATGCTTCTGTGGTGCCCTGTGTCCTGGGGGCTGGGCTGTGTTGGGGATACTAGGAGGCCCTGCCTGCCAGGCACCCTTGGGCCTGGCGGGGGCTGTGCCCTCCTGCTAGCCCCCCACCTTTTTCTGACTGCCCTGTCCCCCTCCCCCCCAGGTCCACAGCAAGGACAAGAAGTACGTGTGCAAGGTGTGCAGTCGCGTGTTCATGTCTGCTGCGAGCGTGGGCATCAGGCATGGCTCTCGGCGCCACGGTGTGTGTGCAGACTGCGCTGGCCGTGGTGTGACAGGGCCTCAGGACCATGGCGGTGGGGGTGGTGAGGGCTCCCCGGAGGCACTATTCCCCGGTGATGGGCCCTACCTGGAGGACCCTGAGGATGTGCGTGGTGAGGGCGAGGAGCTGGGTGAGGACGGCGAGGGCCCCGCCCAGGAGGACGCACTGCTTGGGGACAGGGATGAGGAGGACTCACCGAGGCCCCGCAGCCCCTCAGGGGCCGACAAGGACTTCACTTGGATCTCTTAGACCCACCCCACGGTCCGCCTGCGTGCATATCTCCATTGGTCTCCACTCTGGGGCCAAACTGACCCCTCATGGTCCCTCCTCTGGGGCCCCCCGTGGCCTCCCCACTATAGAAACCAGCCCTGTGGGCTAAAAAGCAGGTTGGACCTGGTGCAAGGGGAGCCTGGGGGGCCACAGCGCAGCAAGCTTGGTGGCACAGGGTGGCTTTGAGCACAGCGGTGCAGGGGCAAGACCACAGCAGGTGCATGTGGGGCTCCCTGGGGCCTGGCTCAGGAGCCACAGTGGCCCAAGGCCAGGTCACAAATGTGGCCAAGTCCAGGGGTCTGGGCAGGTGTCTGGCCTACCCTCGCCCTCCCCTGGGCCTAGCCTGGCCCCCTTCCCTCAGCAGCCAGGTTACAGCTGTGGCTGCAGCAGCTGTAGAATCCAGGTGTGGTGTGCACAGAAAGCCGTGACCCTCTTTCCTCTGGGCTCTGGTGCTTACACAGTAGAGGCTGCCTTCCTCGCTGGAGGCCGAAGGCTCCAGGTGCTATATCTTTGGGTGATGAGGCCAACCTAGGGGCTGACTGGCCCCTGTGCGCCCCCTTCAGGCCACGGCTCCGTGGTGCGCACGTCCTGGGAGACCCTGGGGCCGCCCTGTCCATGCCCCACAGGCCCTGCTGCTTTTGGGGAGGGGGGCCGGGAGGCAGGGTCTCCTGCCCTTGTTGCTGCTAGCGCTGGAGGTGGGTGTCCTAACTGCAGTCTGCTGCTTACACCTCCCTGCGCGGGAACCAAATTTCTAAGTAGTCAGAGACATATCGAGGTAGTGACATAAAATTATTTTGTTTGGCATTATTTTCCTCACTTGACAAAACTATATGGGTTGATTTTCCTTTAGCGTGTGTTCAAGTCCTCTTGCTGTATTTCTTAAGGGGCTCACGTGTTCTCTCCTTCTGAGTGAAAAGCAAAGGCCCTGTCTTGGGCACCCTGGCTCCAAGGGCTGGGAGACCCCATCCAGCTGTTAGTCCAACTGTTTCTGACTGCTCTTCACTGCTGAGATGTCCGTCTCCCACCGCCTCCTTCCTGCGCACTGCAGTGTAGTGCTCTCCAGGTGAGAGGTAGATGCCGCTGACCCCTGCCCCCCAACCTGTGCAAAACCTCCTTGGGGTTTTGAGGATTGGCGCCAACCAGAGAGTTTCTATTTTCTCCTTTTCTGGACTGTAAGCAAGACTGGCTTTTGCCAACTGACAGGCAGAGTGAGTGGCCTGGACACCAGGCCCTGAGCCCTAGCCTCCCCTCCTGTGGCTCAGAGAGCGCCAAGCTAGCCCTGTGGGTGCTCAGGAGCCCCGCAGTGTTTGGGTTCTGTGCCACAGGGAGAAGGCAGCTTTTGTTTTTTTAAATCAGCCACTGTTTCTACTAATTCCAACAAGGTGCTGCAGCTGCACATACACCTCCGTCAGCCAGGACGGGTTGCCACACACCTCGAGGCCGGGGCCAGAGTTTTTGGAGAAAGAGGGCTAAAGCTTCTCCACACATGGAGTGTGGACACAGGTGCCTGGGAAGCTCTGGGCCTCTCTTCTCCCTGCCCAGGATCTTCCTGCAGCGGGTAGGCCCTGGAGCATGCTCCCCAGTGGAACAACACAGCCAAGTTCCCGTCCACCAGGGAAGTGCCAAGCTGACCCCCTCACCCTGGGCCAGCTTGGTCAGACCTGAGAAGACTCTCAGAACTTTGGACCTCTCCCTCACGTCTCAAACCCTTTTTCTAAACAGACTTTCTTATAAAATGCATTTGGAAACCAGACCTTTGCTACCAATAGGTGTCTCTGGGTTTTGTACCAGTTGCCACCTCTCAGGCCATGCACCTAGTACCCCCACCCTCAGCCCACCTCCCACAAAGGGCGCCTTCGCCTCCACACTCAGGATGTTCTACTCCCTCCCCATCTGGACCGCCTTTGCTGACTTTTTGGGGGATCCCTGTTGGTGCCACAGGGGCGTTTTCTTCCTTAAACCAACACTGTATAAGACCAGGGGTCCTCTTCCCACCCCTAGTTCCCTGCGTGGCTGTGGCAGCTCATCACGCTCACTCGCGGTTTGCCGACTGGAGAATGTGGGGTTTGAAAGACCCGGTGAACATGTCCATCTCAGGAGGCATAGAGGGAAAAGACAGGCGTAATGAAGGTTTTTTTTTTTTTTAACATGACGATTTTTTTTTATCAATGTTCAAACTAATAAATATTTTTTTATGAAGAGGAAAAATATGTAGATTACATTTCACATTTTGTATTTTTTTTGTGTGTCTGTTTGTATTTTGGTGTTTGCAACACCAAGTGAAAGTACAGTCCCTTGGGGGTGGTGTTACTTCGGGGTGGGAAGGGAAACCATATGATTTTTGTACTAAGCTCTGGATCCTGACCAGGTTGTATATTTGAACTCTGGGTTTTGGGAAACAGAACACTGCCAGGACTATGTAGGGACCTGACTCAGACACAGCTTACTGCTTCCAACTTTGCACATCTTCCTTTTTAAAAAATTGAGAAAATGCAAAAACTGGAACTTTTTGCAATATTATGAAAGATAATCTTATTTTAGCTCATTCTGTGACATGTGCAACTCTTAAGAAAGCCATACTTAATGGTTGTTTTTTATGTTTTAGATCCTATACTGTGTTTTGTATGCAGCCCTTTTAGAACTACTTGTAGTGAGGGTGCTGTGTGTGTGCTTTTCTGAAATATTTATTTTTTCAACATGCTTTCGACCTGTCAACAAAAACAAAACAAAGGGCAGTGTTTGAAGATTGTTGATTTTTTCTGGGGATAATCTATATTATATTGACTTTATATTAATTATTATAAACCTGTGTTTGTATTGGAGATGTGTTTAATATTTAGGGGACATTTTTGTACTGAGTTGGTGGGAAATCGCAGCTCTGCTGTCCTGCTTCTCCGCAGCCACAGAACAGCAAGTGTCACCTCTACATTGGGTCTCCAGGGTTCTTGTCTGCCTGGGCGGTTCTCAGCCTGTCTGTGGGTTTCCTTTCCGTGATGGGGTTAGCATAGATATTCTTGCAAAGCGATCACTTTCAATAAATTGGGAAATTGCTGCTCCAAGCAGATGCCTCCTGTGTGTTTCAACAGCACCCCCTCCTCCAGCCTAATCCCAGTGGGGATAGCCAGAGGGCAGTCCCCAGCCCATTGCAGCTGCTTCCTGGCCTCCCACCCTCTGCTCACCACAGGGTCCCTGTTCCATGGCCTTCCTCCAGGAGACAAACTCAACTTCTGGAAAAACCTCAAATCTTTAATTATTCTCCTCACCTGGTACAGTCCAGGCCTGAGACACCTGAGCTTCAAAACATGGTAAAACATCAGCCCCAGGGTTGAATCACCAAGCTAAGTGCGAGCTGGGGGTCCTCCTCCTGACACCTCTCAAAGTGCATTGTGGACTGGCCCTCAAAGCTGGGCCCTTAACATCCTTGACAAGTCTGTGGACCAACAGGCAGGGAGGGTGGCCGACCCTAGGACCCCTGGGGTCAAAGGGACAGTGATGTGGTTTGGCTTTAGTGCAAAAAGCTGGTTTCTTCAGAGGCACTTTGAATGGTGGGACCCCTCCTCCACCTCTGGGGGGTCCAGGGTCACCAACTCACTCTTCTCCCATTAAAAGATTGACCTTGCGGCTGGGAGAGGCCAGGCTTGGGGCTCCCCCAGGGCAGTTTCAGCCCCAGGCTAGGGGTGGTGGTGGGAGGCAGAAGGTGGTAGCTTATTTTCTCTTTTAGATGGCCCCGGAGGGGCTGCACAGAGGGGGTTCAGTCCAGGAACCGCTGGCAGGCCTTCTTCCAGCGGCAGGCTGTGCACCACAGGTCCCGGTGGTCCATGCCGTACACCTTCCGGCACTTCTTAGCGTCACCACGGGGCTTCCTGGGGGGACACACAGGGGCATGGGCACTGTGGAATATGATCCTTCCCCTCCTGCCTCACACCTGCCCAGCTCCTTAGCTCACTCGCACCTCAGGCTCATGCCCATCCTGGTGGCAAGGGCTGGCACGCAGGCTCTGACCTCATTGCGCTGCAGGGCTCCAGAGCGCCCTGAGATCTGTCCCCAGCTTCCCCCTATGGCCTCGCCCACTTGGCAGGCGTGGTGACTGTGGCATGCCTGGGGGGTGTCCACAGAGGTCAACATGGGGTGTGGGCTCAAGGTGAGTGGCTGCAGCAGGCTGGGCAGGGCTGGGGGCTCCAGGAGCTCTGGCAGCTCCAAGCGGGGGAAGACAGGTGGCATGGAGGCTGTAGGAGACACTGGGGTCAAGCTAGATAGCCTGTCAGTTAGAGTGTCCACACCAATGTCCAGCTCCGTGTAATAGAAGTCTTCTTCACCGTCACTCTGCTCTGGCTCTGCCTGCCTCCTGTGGGGACATAGCCATGGGAGTTGAAGGGGTGGCCTGGCTGGACCCCACCCCTGGCCCGGCCCAGCCCAGGCCCTGCCGCACCCCAGGTGCACCAGGCGGATGTGCCTCTGCATCCCTGACGCTGTGCTCAGCACCTTCCCGCAGCTCTTCCATAGACACTGGAACATGACCTGGGCAGAGCTCTGCACACAGGGGTGGTGGTCAGGCTCTGCCACTGCACCCACCTCACCCTGGGGCTGCCCCAAGCTCACCTTCCTCTTCCTCAGGGTAGGTTCCCCGAAGAGAAAGTGGGCTGCCTCAGGGGGCAGCGGGGGTGACGGAGTAGATGGAGAGGACTGGTCACTGGCCAGATCCCAGCACCACTCTCCACTGTTGCTGCTGCTGTAGCTGCCTGGGGGCTGCACCAGGGCCTCCTTCCAGGGCTCCAAGCCAGGCTCTGTGGGACACACCCCCTGCAGGACCTGGGTGGGCTCAGGCTGCCCTGCAGAAGTTGCTGCCCACTGGCTACCTGCTAACTTTGGTAAGTCACTGACTCTGAGCTGCCACCTGCTCACCTGACCCCAGTAAGCTGGTGGGCAGCAAGCCTCTTGGAGGTGGCACTGGCCAGGAAGAGCTGGCCACCCTGATCCCTCCCAGGAAAGGGTGGACAGACTTCCTGTGCAGGGGGAGAGGAGATCCCTGGTGTGGCCAGGAAGCAGCAGGGCCAACCACGTGAAGGTGGACAGTTCACAGAGGCCAGAAGACCTAGTCCTGCAGCTGTGGTCTCAGTGAAGGGCACTGAGGGTCCAGATGACCGTTAGAAAGTAGGCTCAAGAGCTGTGATTGCAAGGTATCATCCCGGGACTGGGGACTCTGCATGCTGTAAAGGCTGGGTGGAGGTAGGATCCTCAAGGGATAGCAGTCTTGGGTCTTGTGCCCACCCACACCCCTGTGCACAGAAGTCTGAGTCTCACCTGGGCTGAAGGCTGTGACTGGGGCCCCCAGGAGGAGGGGGCTGGTGGACAGGCTTGTAAGGGCTGCAGCAGCCATGACCTCATCCAGCCGGGCTTTTTCTGGGGTGGCTCTGGAGATGGGGGCAGGTGGGGATGGGCTGGCAAGTGGCCAAGGCCCCTCCCCTGGTCTGGGTACACGTGCAGGCTGAGGCACATGTGTGCACACCAGGCTGCCTTACTCCTGGCCCTGGGCACAGGCCTGGCTCCTCCCTCAGATCAGGTTGCAGAGTTGAAAATTGCCAAGAACCACCAGGAACAAGGCCTGGGGCCTGGGTCTTGCGGAAGCCCGGGGAACTCTACACTCTGAGCTTTGTTCCACCGTGGCTCCTTCAGGCCTTGGCGTGGGGCAAGAGTCTGAAGCCCTACTAGAGTAGGGGCCAGGCCAAACCCAGCCCTCCCCCCAACACACATTAACCAGGGTTGTGCAACAGCAGCTGCGGGCTCAGGGCCAGGCCTGGGAGGGTGGGAGCCCCGTGGTCGGCGGCAGCCAGGAGACTGGGCTGGAAGCGCTGGCGGGTCTGAGGCCCCAGCAAAGCAGGCCAGAGCCCGCCCCTGGCCCTTGGAGCCAGCCCGAAGTGTCAGGCATGGAAGAAGTGGGGACGTTAGAAACCTGTAATTCTGACCGGCCCTCCACCCAGGTCTCCCGAGGGGAGGGGCGGGAAGGCACGCACCCACACACACCCACCCAGTCCCAGGGCACTGGCGCTCAGCTCACCTCTGCGTTGGCACCGGGATGTGCACGGAAGGAGTCGGAAGTCCCGCCGCCGAGGCCCCCGCCCACGTACCTGGGGCCCCGAAGTCCGCGGCCCGGGGCTCTGGCTCTCGCGGCAGCGCAAGCTCCGAACCAGCACGGCCACCGCCAGCGGCAGGTTCCTGCGGATGCGGCAGGCTCAGAAGCGGCGGTGGCCTCGTGTCCCCCAGCCTCCTGCCCGGACCAGCTCGGCGCCAGTCCCCCAAACTGGCTGCGGCGGGTGAGAACAGCGCGGCCCCGCCTCCGGCCCCGCCCCCCGGCTCGGCGCGGCGGGAAACTTTGCCCCACCGCCCCGCGCTGCCCCGTCGGACCCACGGACACGCTCGGACAGACGCGGCCGTCCCCCCGCAACCCTGCCCCCAGGAGTCCAAAGTTTGCGCAGCCCCGACGCCATCTTTGCGGTCAGAGGAACTTTATCAGCGCCCCCGCACAGGGCGCCCGTACCTGCGGCGGCGTGGGCACCGTCACGGCCGCGGCACACGGGCCTGAGGCCTCGGCGTGCGCCCACGGCGCCTCGGCCTGCAGCGCGCTAGGGTCCCGGCCGGCGGCGCGAGTCGGGAGACGCCTGTAGCCCGGGCCCGGCGCTGGGGGGCGCTCGGCCTCCATGGCCCGCCGGCTGGGCGCCGAGGCTGCAGCGGTGAGGACGCACTCTCAGGATGCAGCCCCGGGCCGGGCCGGGCTGGCCGGGCAGCCGACCCCCGCCCTGGATCCAGCCGCCGCCCGCGCCGCGCCGCCCGCAGGCTGCCCAGGGGCCCCGCCCCGCGCTCCGCCCTCCCAACCCCTCCCACCAGCCCCGCCGCGCCCGGCACACCCGCCCATTGGCCCGTGCCGGTATCAACACGCCGAGATGGACCGCGGCCACGCCCCGTCAGGCAGCTCCCGCGCGGGCCTGGGGACAGGGGCGGGTCAGTACCCGCGGCGGCACCGCCCGGGATGGCCGGCTTCCCGTGGCGAGCTCTGGGAACTGCCAGAGCTGGGGAAGGGGCCGCGGCTCCCTGGCCGGGGATCCCGGGAGCAGGTTACTGTTTAACCCGCTCTGCCCACCCCACCTCTTACGTAATCCCGGGGGCAGGGGGCGGAGCCCTTCCGCAGTTCAGGGCCAAGTCCTACCCTGGCGGTTACCTTGCCGGCCGGCTGCACTCCCGTCGTCCCGACTAGGCCTGGAAATCGCCACTGCGAGCGCCGCCTTTCTACTTTCCATAGACTCCCAAGCCAGACCGCAGGACCTCGGCCTCGGACCCATCTTAATCCTTGCGGAGACCCCCCCCTCCCGACCCCAGGCCCCAACCCTCCCAGCTGTCACGGAGGGCAGGCTGTAAGGCACTGTGTTGTTCGTGCAATCGATTTATTTGGATTTATTTAGACGTGCCTTCTCGGGGGCTGACGAGGCGCCTCAGGCACCTCACGGTCTGGCAGCCCAAGATCTGCGACTTGTGCTGTCAGCTGGGGAGGGGGCTGGGCCCCCGCTCTGGAGGAAAGAATTGGGAACTTGAGTATTCCAGGCAGGGAGGGGCCTCCAATCCCTCCTTGGGCTAAGGCCTGTGGAGGCAGGGGGCCCAGGTGTCCTGTTTATGTCCACTAATGCTAATAGCCAGAGCTGGGGGCTCTGGGCATTCCCGGACTCCCATCTCCTGGATGCTCTCATACACGTTTTCCAGGGGTCTGTGGTCCATACCCCGGCCCCAGAGTGGAAGGACCTCATAGGCCAAGTCACTCTCCAGCACCAGGATTGCTCCCCTGCCCTTGGGGTCCGGTGGGTCTGTAGTGGGTGCTAGGTCCTTCTTTTAGGCTTGCACACCCTGGAGTACAGGATGTCCACCTGCAGGAAGGAAGTGGACAGTGAGGGGTCAGCCCCACATCTCTGCAGAGGTTCTGCCCAGCCACCCTGGTCCCCTTTACCTGAGCAGTTGGGGACACCTCAGCATTCGCCTGCTGCAGTTCTTGGGGGGCCCTCTGGGTTATCTTGAGCTTCTGCACGCAGGAATACTCAGTTGCCACAGAGCTGGCTGCCAGGCCTGCTCTGGGGATGGCCACCAGGGCCAGGTTGGAATAGGTGGCCAAAGAGCCAGCAGAGGGTGTGGCAGCAGGTGGGCCCTGGGGCTGCTCCTGGTGTGGGAAGGCAGAGGGGGCTGCCTGCAGCCTTCGGGGATCTCTGGACACCTCCAGCCAGTGGGGGTGTAGATCCATGCTGACAGGGCGCTGGGCTGGGGGTGGGATCAGGGTAGAGGTCACTCAGAAACAGGGAGCACATCCACCCAAGTGCTCACATTCTCCCTGGGAGGCTCTGAGCGGCTCTGCTCACCTCTGCAGCCTTGGGGACCCACATGCAACTCGTGCAGTCTGGAGTCTGACTTGCTGAGGGAGTAGAGCTGGGTCTGTCTCAGCAGAGCCTGGGGGCAAGACAGGCAGGTGGGTCCCCAGTCACCCCACCCTGGCCCAGGGACAGCCAGGCACTCACCGCTTCCGCCGGCATCACGCTGCCCTGCAGCCTGGCACACCGCCTCTGCCCCCGCTTCCTGGGAGCAAGAGCATCATCAGGCCGGGGTGCAGAGGTGAGGGACAGGGGCGATTGGCCTGCGTCCATGGCCCATGTTGAAGGCACAAGCTTAGCTGCGTGCACACACTTGCCTCCAGCCCCTCCCCGAACTGGGCAGTGGAGGGCAGGCCTGAGGCGGCCCCTGAGCAAACTGGGACAGATGGACATACCTGCCACAGGTTGTGCACAGTGCCCACAGCCAGAGGAGCAGAGTGCAGCACGCTAGGACCCAGAGGGCAGGAGGGGCTGAGAGCACCAGCAGCCCCATCCTGTGAAGCCTGGGGACAGAAGAGAGAGGGAGCACAGCAGGCAGGTTGAGAGCACCTGCCTGGTCCCTGCTGGGCTCTGACTCAGCACAGGTACACCCCCACTTCCCAGCTCCCCACCTTCCCTGCACTCTGTGGCCCCTTCCTCCCAGAGGCACCGACCTTTCTGCCTCTGGCCAGGGCTCCTGGGGAGGTGAGCTGATGGAGGGTGCTATGCCTGGCCCCATCAGAGCTGGGAAGGATGACCACAGCAATTATGGGATGATTTCTGCCTAGCCCTGGGATTGAAATTCTCTCACAAAGGAAGTCTAGCCCTCTCAGACCCCAGCCCTCCAATGCCCCAACCTCTGTGG